CAAACGGGTGCAGTATCAACATAGATAACCTCAATAACGTAGATAAGAGTAAAATAAGAACTGATAAGCTTTGAGTATCATTACCTTTGTTTTCAATATATTTCGTTATAAGTTCACATAATTTAATTTTTAATAATGGCCATGGTTAACAACTAGCTCACAAAATCTCTGAAAATTTATCCATCAGCTCTCACAAGCCTGTCGGAGCCCCCTCAAGCGCACTCCTACTGCAAGATCAGAGCAGTTCCCATTACAAAGCAGAAGGAATTCGGGGAGGTGGGCGCAGCCAGGCTTCCTCCATATTACAGCCCCGGGGGGCTCCATTCAGGGCCCCCCAGGAGCCAAGCGGCCCCACACGCAGAACTTGGCTGACATGAGAGGATAAGGCCTCATGCTCTCCCAAGCGCCCCACTGCCCACATGTAACCCCCGAGAGGGATTCCCTCTGCATTTTCCCAGGCCCTAAGCTTCAGCTTCTTAAACGCTTTTAACTCAGAAAACCTTTTCCTGAAGCAAAAACAAGGAAACTCAGAGTTCTTTGACGTGCCGATGGCTACATGGTGGAGTGTAGGAGTGTTTGATCCAGTCCTGAGGCTTTATTTCTCTGATGCCAGCTCTGCCACTGGCCAGTAGAATGACCTTGAACAGGGGCTGGCCCCGTGGCCGAGTGGTTAAGTTCGTGCGTTCTGCTGCAGGCGGCCCAGTGTTTCATTGGTTCGAACCCTGGGCGTGGACATGGCACTGCTCATCAAACCACGCTGAGGCAGTGTCCCACATGCCACAACTAGAAGGACGCACAACGAAGAATATACAACTATGTACCAGGGGGCTTTGGGGCGAAAAAGGAAAAAATAAAATCTTTTAAAAAGAATGACCTTGAACAAGCCACTACACCTCAGTTCCTGGTTACTGTGAAAAATGGGGTGTCAGATTAGATGGTGTGTCTTATCTAGTTTCTTCCTGCTCTAAGACCTTGTATTGGCTGTGATTACTGAGGGCTTCAGAAAAGATGACCAATCATGTCAAAACCCACTGAGAACAACTCATCAGACCACAGAGTGATGTGACTTCCTAAACCTGAACTCTGCCCGTCTCATTCCGAGTGAGAATACAGGGGGAACATTCTAATCCTGACCATGGAAAGATCTAGGCTGTGGTCCTTCAAGGATGTGTCAAAGTACAGCTGCCTTTGATGGTGGAAAATGGTTTTGTCTGGTTTTCTGGTCAAAGCCAAGTTACTCAAGTCTTCATCTTGGCTGCAATCATAGCCTATACTCTGCCTCATCAGGTTCTTTATAAACTTGTCTCCCCAAATGATTCCTTACCAATGGGAATCTGCCCATCTTTCAACAAACAGTTATATTGATGGAACATTGCTTTAAAGCTTTAGGGTTTAATAAGTCTCAAAAAGCAGGTAAAGTAATGGCACAATGCAACACTGTCAGTGAGAAACTGGTAAATTTTCACCAATGCTCCCAAGGAGTTGGTGTACGTGTTTAATGCTCCCATGCATGTATGTTGTCACCAGAAATAGATTGTGCAGGTGTGTATCTTGGTTCGGCAAGGTTGCCATGATTTATGGGTGTAGCTACAAGTTCATAACCACCAATCCAAGAGAGGAGGAAGGAGGGTGGAGAGAGAGAATGGCTGGCAGAAATGCTTTGTGAGTTTCGTGTTTAGTGCTTTTAACATGGTGCCTCATTCTCACTTCTAGAAAGCACTTAGCAGATATAAGCCAAAAATAGATTGCCATCCATAACTGACCAAACCCCTATTGGGGTAAAGGTGGGAGATGTGCATGGGTGCGTTGTTGTGATTGTTTATAGTTGTTGTTTTATATCTGAGCTGTAGGAGAGTATTTATTTTACAGTAAAAAGCATGAGCTGTTGATGCTTTTTAACCAGAGTGAGAGACGACATGGAGAAGCCTCTCTCTCTTTTCTTCTTGTTTTCTTTTGGCAAGAATTTCTGTCTGACACTATATGTACACTCTCTGGGCTGATTCCCTATCAGCCATTCCACAATCCATTCTTCTACACACGAGGTATGAAGCAGGGGCTTTCAGAGTCATAAACAACAAACTCAGAGTTAAGTAAGGTAGGTGGGAAGCTATAGATAAAACTACGTTATAAAGCTTTTATATGGTGATAGCAGCTTCTACATTCTGAGCCACTTCCTATATCACAGGCACTGCTACCTCACTTAATCCTCGCTGTAGTTCTCTGAAGGTGGCACTATTATTGCCTGTCCACCAGTGGGTGATCTTCCTAGATTCAGACTTAAAAGATGACCGGAGGCTGCTGGGTCTGGTCAGAGGGAAGGTGGGCAGAGCCACCGCTTGCCATCAGGGCAGCATCAGGCCTTCTGTGGAGTCCTCTCTGGTACAGGGCATCCTGTTGAGATGCAGAGAGACGAGATACCCCTCAGGCAGGGGTGGGAGCTGCCCTGGCCCTAAGAGGAGTCAGAGCTCCTGTAACACTCCCTGGGCATACTCCCCAGTTCCCCGCAAGGGACATGCCTCGGGAACAGCTCACCACACTCAGGAAGCCCCAAGCTCCATCTTCCTATCAGGTATGTATGGATGATTCCTTGTTCCTCCCAGTCGAGATGCAATTTACCAGTCAGGGGTTAATCTTATCATAAGGAGTGTTGTCTAGTAATGTAGTTGACCTACTGTCTTAGTGGATTACCAGAGTTAACCAAAGATCAAATTCTCCTACAGAAAGGGAAGAGATGTATGTTAACCCTTTACCCACAATTCTTAGTCCCATTTTACGGAGAATAACATTAGTTGAGATTGAGAGAGGTGTATCAGCTTGCCTCAAGCCACATAGTAAGTAGCACAGCCAGGACTTGAACCCTGGCCTGCCTGCCTCCGAGTCCCGTGCTCTTAGCTAAGATGCAAGCTGTAAATTTTTCATTCTAATCCATAGCGTACCTGTGTTTATTTGACTATTTTAAAAACTAACTTGAATTACCTACATTGAGAACAGTGGTCTTCCTGGAAGAAGAAATATGTTTATCTTTTGTTTTTGCCCACTCCCCGGCACACTGTGTACCCCAATTTGATAAACTCATCGCTACACCAGTTAGTAGTTCTACTTAGAATAATAAAAAAATAGCACTAGTTCCTTGCTTCTTCTGAGAGCCCATATTTTGAGCAGAGGTTCATGAGGAGGGGGAACAGTTTTAAGAGCAGTAGAGCCCACTTTGCATCTGAAAATAAATGAGTACCTGGCTCCCGCGTACAAACAATTCTGTTTTGCGTTGGTTGTTCCTTTCTGCTTTTCAAATCATCACCATCTTGTAGCAGAAAACCTAAGAGCTCAAGGCAAAGCATGTAGCTTTATTACAGTTCAGTTCTGCATATAAAATCCACTTTATATGTCTAGATTGTATTGCAGAAGCCATTCAAGAAATGTGCCATCCATGTTCCAAGTATAAAAGTAGACATTTTAAGACACTGTAACAATATTGTGATATTGTTTCATTGGGTGTTTGATCAACTCTAAGCTTTTATCAGGAACTTTCTGTTGACTTCCAAAACTTCGTAGTGTAATGAAGACAAATACTAAGGAATTTGGTAGGCAGGATGTGAAATGGGTTGGATAAAATACCATGTTTAAGTGTGATGGAATTCATTTACGATGAATTATATTAAAATAGTTAAAACACAATTGATGGGAGGGCGGGGTAGAGAGAGGACTTGAGGGGCGTGCTTGTGTTCTGTTTCTTAGCCTAGGTAGTGGGCATAGGTGCCTGTTTTTATTACCTAAATGCTTGTATACATTCTATTCACTAGGCTTTCCATCACAGTTTTCAAAAACGCAGCTAGCAAAGTCTGCCTGTCAATACAGCCAGGCGTCACGTAACAGTGGTGACACATTCTGAGAAATGTGTATTTCAGTGATTTCATCATTGTGTCAACATTGTAGAGTGCGCTTACACAAACCTAAATGGTACAGCCTACTACACACCTAGACTATATGGTACTAATCTTGTGGGACCACTGTCGTATAAGCAGTCTGTTATTGACCGAAACATTGTTAGGTGGCGCGTGACTGTAATACAAAAAGATGTTTGCTCTTTAGGTAAGAGATACTATTTCAAAGATTGTTTTGAATATTGTATTACATGAATTTATGAGCTGTTAGATTGTACAGTGAGAAAAAAACAAAGTTTGAATATTGCTAACGTAAGAGAAATGTTGACAAAATAACTTTGAAGTTACCAAAGTGAAACTATTGAGAAAAGTCGCCTTTCCTTTTATGAGTAATAAAATCACAACATAAACAGATCTTTAGCAGTCTTTCTCCCTGCACTGCTCTCTTCCCTTCTTTTTGAATCTGCGTGTGCATATTTATTCAGTCATTCTGTAAATGTTTACTGAGGGGCCTTGGCAGTGTGCTGGCAACGGTTAGGGGGACTTGAGTCCTTTCCTTTCAGCTAATGGCTTGGGAGACAAGACCTTCAGTCAGCCAAGAAAAATTTTAAAACCCCAATAACAATATGAGAATCCAGAGTAATACACAAAAGAATCAGAGTTTTCATGGGGGCCTGTATGTTAAGTGGCAGTAAAGTGGTACAAACAATAAACACTACCGACCTACAGGTGAAGGAGGCCCCCTCTACCTGGGAGTGGCTGGGAGACTGAGAATAGATGGGTTTTCTATGGGTTGAGAAGAGAGAACCTTCCAAGAGAGAGGAAAGCTTGTAACTGAAGGCACTGCAGTAGGTACAGATAGTTGTCCGTGTGTATGAGTTTCCCACAAGGAAGGTTTGCATAGGGAAGAAATGGAGCTGACTCTGAGGAACCTTAAAACAACAAGCTGGAAGATAATTTCATCATGGAGGAAAAGGGAATCTGTTGTGAGTTTTTGAGAGTGAGACAGATCTGTGAACCCTCTGCCAGGGTGGAGCATCTGTCAGACTCGGGTTAACTGTCGTAATTCCTCATGCCCTGTAGATGATCCCAGTTACTTACCTTCTGTTCTTGCTGCAGATTCATGACGGATGCTGCCCGCCGAGAGCAGGAGTCCCTAAAGAAGAAGATTCAGCCGAAGCTCTCGCTGACCTTGTCCAGCTCAGTGTCTCGGGGGAATGTGTCCACTCCACCACGCCACAGCAGTGGAAGCCTTACTCCCCCCGTGACCCCGCCCATCACCCCCTCCTCTTCCTTCCGCAGCAGCACTCCAACAGGTGAGTGGCTTGACCCTACCACCTGGAGCGGGGGAGTTGGGGAACACAAGGGAAGAGTGTGTGTGTGATAAGATATGATATGCTGGGGACAGAAGGGGGCCAGGGACAGATGATGGTTCAGACCCACCTCGTTTTTGACCCTTTACTGGTCTCTATAGCGTTTGTTGATTCATTCATCTATTCGTTATTGAAGAAATATTTATAAATTACTGTCTATAAATGTGTAGGATAATGGTATTATAGGTATTTTTCAAGTCTTTGCCATTCATTATGTATGAAGTGATGCGATGTCTTGGATTTGCTTCCATCAGATGGAGGAGTAGATGACACAAGATTGCCATGGGTTGATTATTGTTGAAGCTGGGTGTGAGTACATAGGAGTTCATTACACCATCCTCCCTATTTTTGGTTATTTAAAATTTTTTCCGTAATAAAATGATTAATTAAAAAAATTAGAGTGCCTCCTGTGCACCAGGCACTGAGCTACAGTTGTGAGCCAAAGGAGCCCCCAGCCCTGTCCTGAAGGAGCTTGGGCCTAGTGGGAGATGTTGGCATTCTAGGTGCCAAAGAGCACACTCTTGTCTTCCCCTCCAAAACGTGGAAGCAACTAGAAAGTAGGAGTCAGAGGTGAAGATCAAAATCAACTTTATTAGTGCATAAAGCTGGACCACAGAATGGAGCTTGGATCTGTAACCATTGGGCTTCTTAGTATGTCTTCCATGAATTTACCTTATTTCCCAGACTGCCCTTCTGAGCTTACTCGGAGCGGGAGCAGACCAGAGTGCACCCTGGGCCCAGAGCTGAGCATGCGCAGTCCCTGCTGCCCATTCAGAGGTCTGTTAAGTCATTCTTCCTCCATAGGCAGGAGTGAGTAGAGACAGTAGAAAGACACCGGAATGTTCCCTCCTCCAATTTTTCCCATCTGAGAAGCAGGGAATATATTTCCCTTCTCCCTAGTAGGCATATAGACAGGCATTAGTCAATAAATATACCAATTAATAAATATGCCAATTATATTTGTATATACTATTAACCAACAAATATAACATTGTAACCATGACAAGTATTACATAGAAGAACTCAGTCATATGAGAGTATCCAGAGAGAGTCCCACCAGGTCAGGAAAGGCTTCCCCTGAAAGATAAATAGAAGTCAAATAGGTAAAGAGGGAAAGGAGGAGTGTGTAGCTGGGGAACAGCATTCTGTGGTGTCTGTGAGGGGGAGCCTGGCAGGGCCCAGGCACTGAAAATTGGCCAGATGGCTAGGTGTTAGATGAGGCTGAGGATGTCAGCAAGGACCAGTGTATTGTGGGTCCTATTAAAAATTCTGGTTGATCCTAAGAGCGAAAAGAAGCCACTTAGAATCACACCATCATCTCCATAGCATCACCCCCTTGACCATGGGTAAAAATGTTTATTTTCTCTTACAGTTTATATCTTTCTCTGTCATCCATCTCCCATCGAGGGAGGTGACTTAAGTAGTATTTCTCAAAGTGCGTTTCACAAAATAGTAGTTGGGAAAAAGGGATTCCCTAATAAATTTGGGGAGAGGAAAGGTTAAACAAAGGTAAACTGGTTTCCTTAATACAAGACTTTAATATACGTTGTTATTCTCCAAGGGGAGGATTTAGTAAGTTTCCCAAACTTAGTTGACTTAGTTATGAGAGCTCTTCTTCTAGGGGTATCTCAGGGACTCCTGGTTGACAGACACCCTGTGTTCTGTCAGGATTGGGCATTCTGAAGACAGGATAGGCGTGGGAGGCAGTCCGGCCAGAGTTCCTACCTGAACTTCTCTGTTTACAAATCACTAGTAGTACCCATTATGAAAGGTTTTTGTGTGAGAGTCAAATGCGATGGCATACGTATGCACGAGCATTCAGTCACTGTCCGTCTCTGTGGTCTGGAGTTTTCAACTACTTGCTTCATGAACAGACTCAGGATCATTCCGTAGAGGATGAATCGGTTCATTTGCCGTGGGCATTCGTCCATTTCCCTAGGTTGGTCACCATGTTTCCTTTATATTTTATTCTGTGAAGATTTACTTCCCAGGATCTTCACGTAACGTTGACTGTGTAAATCTAAGGAATGCCGTGAGAGTGTTGTAATTCTGCGATCCTCTTTTCTGGGTATTTCTATGAATATTTATTCATATATAATATGAATTATGGCGGCAGTTTCATATGGGGGTGTGTTTTATAACTGACCTGGTATGGACCGACTCATGGCCAGCACCAGATAACCATGACTGCCCCAATTAGCAGCGGGTGCCTTAGAACCCCGTGAAAATAAAGACAGTTTAAAAGTGAGAGTTTATTATTTTTCATGTAAGAATGTTTGGAAGAAATGGAATCATTTCCTTTCCTTCAGACATAAAGAAATCTTTCTGACACCTTGCCTATTTTAACAATTTCCCACTAAGAGAATTAATTTATGTTGTGGTAAAGATGTATCATTTTCCGTCTGTCAAGATCATTGGTAAGTTATTTGCTGCTTGAAGAACATTCCATGTAAACATCAAAAATTAGCAGGGGAAATGGTTTCTTAAAGCCCTACCTTGTACAATTTTGATTGTGTACATTTTTCAATGTTTGAAATGTTATTTTACCTGTAGTTAGAGAGATCAGCTTATTTTGCCTGACTAATGTGGTTTTGGTCACTTTCACTGCCAGGTTATAAATAATATTCCATGTTTCTACCTCCTAAATTCACTCAGTTCCAAATTCCATATTCAAGGTGCATTCCTGGTCCAGAAGTAATAGTCATTTTGTGGAAAATTTCATTTATAAAATATACTTTAAAATATACTGTCTTGACTAGAAGGAATCAGAGCTCAACTTCATCCTAGAGTTTCAAGTATTTCTTAGGTATTCTTGGAACCAGAATTTGTTTTGCAGCTTCTAAATCCTAGAAGAATCTCCTGTTTTCATCTTTTTTTTTTTTTTTTTAGGGTTCTGAAGTTTTTATTATTCATAGTACTTAAAAGTCTAGAGTAAGATGTTTTAAAAGTCAGAGTAAGATGCTCAAGACAGAGTAATACAGCTGTCCTCAGAAATAGATGACCGTAACTAGACGGTATGACCAGGTTGTCTCCAGTCACGGGGTTTTTTTGTTTTTTTTTAAGTTTTTATTAAGATTATAATAGTTTACAACCTTGTGAAATTTCAGTTGTACATTATTGTCAGTCATGTTGTAGGTGCACCACTTCACCCTTTGTGCCCTCCCCCCTGGTAACCACCAATCAATTCTCTTTGTCTCTATGTTTAACTTCCACCTATGAGTGGAGTCATACAGAGTTCGTCTTTCTCTATCTGGCTTATTTCACTTAACATAATACATTCAAGGTCCATCCATATTGTTGTGAATGGGACGATTTTATCTTTTTTATGGCTGAGTAGTATTCCATTGTGTGTGTATACATATATATATATATATATACACCATATCTTCTTTTCATCTTGTTCATTTCCTATCCATGTTTTGTTTTCTTTTAATATATAAGAAAAGAAAGTATTCACTTAAAGAAAGCTTACAATGGTGTAAATCATGGGTCAACTACCTTTTTTATAAAGGACCAGGCAGAAAATGCTTCAGGCTCTGCAGGCCATAGGGTCTGTTTTGGCTACTCAACTCTGCTGTCGTAGCATGAAAGCAGCTACAGAACTACACAAACGATTGGACATGGTGTGTTCCATTAAAACTAAAAGTTTTCATAAAACTTTATTTACAAAAACTGGCCAGATTTGACCCACAGGCCATAATTTGCCAACCCCTGGTTTAAATCACAGAGATACGGAATTTAAAGATAACGTGATTAAATTCCCTGAAAATAAAGTGTTAAAACAATTCATAACATTCTCCTTTAAAAGTAATACTGTGGAGAGTGTAATTACTAAAACGGAAAGGCAACTAACATTTGTCGAGTGTTTGCTATATACTTTATGTATGATGCTGTATTTAATCCTAACACCAGCCTCACTGAGACGTGTTGTTAATTCCCCTATACAGATTGAAGAAATAGAAGCTTAGTAAGGTTAACTTGCACAAAGCATGTCTGTCTATGAAAAGAATGTGTCTTTCTGGTGAACTCACTCTTCCTTTACACATTAATTATTATTACGTTAGTACCTCTTTAAAAACTCTTATTACACCTTCAGCCGTTTAGCTGCCTCGAGTCCTAACTCAGCAACTCCAAACCCCAAATACAAAAAGATGTTCAGATGCTGGATGTGGTTCACCTCCACTCATAGTAACGCCCACTTTTACTCCACTCCACCATTCAAGTAGCAGGTCAGAACTGAAGAACTTCCCAGTTTAGTTCAGTCATAGTTTTCTTTAAGGGGCCGTAGGAGCTGACTCCAGAGATCCAACTGCTAAATATTCAGGTTTGCAAGCCAGTTGTGGAAACATTATCTTGAGATTGGCCATCGTGGGAGCATTTACACGGGTGAAATCGGCAAATGCTCCCTATCAGGATTTCTCCACTCCCCCTTTACCATTATACCACCGTTTTATCCTTTCAGTATTTGCCAGACTAATCCTACTTAGTTTATAGTTGAAGGGATCATGGTTCTAACTGTGTCATGAATAAACCTAAAGCAAAAATCCATCACTAATAAATAAATAACGACCATTTCAAACAATGGACTGCTTTGCAGCCATTCACAACAATGGTGTAGGTCACCATGTAATGACATGGAAAGGTTTTCACATTATACTGTTAAGTGAAAAAATTGGCTTACAAAACTGTATGTACAGTATGATCCCAATTTTATTTTTTACTCCCCAAAATTTAAGCATTGTTACCTTAATATGATCGGAAGATGGGTATTATTTTTCTTCTTTCTTTTTTCACATTTTCTAAAATGAGCTTGTATTACTTTTGTAACTAAAACAACTGTTTACTGTGTATAATCAGAAGATATAGACAGAATTAGACATAGAGGCAGATATAGATGGAATAACCCCGTTCAAAAAAAGCTTAATGAATTTCTTTCCTTCAAA